ATTGAAGGGCTTAAAGACTAACAATAAACAGCAAATGTATCAGATTTATGGGGCAAACATCTACCGAGACCTCGCTTTTACTTCAACATTTTCATCAAACAAGGTCTGCTAGCCTTAAAGAGGTTCCCAAGAGAGGTGTAATCCTGTGGCCGTGCCCAGGCACTTGGCAAAGGGATGGGCAAGAGAAAACACCCTGGAAAATTACAACAGCACTGGCTGGCTGAGCTGCTGTCCATCACATCTGCAAACAGCTGCCTGGAGAGCACCCAAAGGCTGAGGAAGGCTTTGCTTGGAGGTCTTTGCTCTCCCACACCCCATCTAACACAGAAAGGGCTTCCGGGACCACCCCAAACACCTAATGGAAAATGAGTTGGAGAACCGTGTCCAAGGATGAAGCAAGTGCTCAGCTCAAGAACATATCACCTAGGCAGCTCCCTGCCAGTGGCACCAGCAGCAGGCATGGCACATGGGGCCACATCCAGAGCTCCTGCGTGGCAATGCTGGGGAACTGCACCGGGAGCTCCTCCTCACGCAGCCCAGCTGCCAGGACACCGGGATTAATGCATCTCTATCTAGGCACGTCATTACCAGAGATAGGAAAACTGGAGCAAGTTCAAAGAGTAGCAGCAAATACAATTAAGAGCTGGAGTGAATTAGGAGGGCAGGTGGAAAGAGCCGAACCTGCATGGCTGGCTAAGCCATGGCAGGGCCCAAGTTGCCCATGAGCATCCGAGGAGTGCAGACACAAGGGGTGGGCAGGAAGCCTACTTGAGTTGGACACAGACAGCCAAGGAAGCAGGGAAAAACCATCAAAATCAGTAAAAACCGAGGGCGAGGATAAATATCAGCATAGTCAGGCTCTCAAACCTGGGGCAGATGACCTGCGGGCAGAAGCAGGTCCCCCATCCACATCTAAAACAGCACCATCACAAAATAGCCATCAGTTTTCACCTTCCTATAGTCTTTTGCTCCTGCTAGCCCCAAATGCAACTGGATGGATTATTTTTAAGCACTCAGACACATTCTTCCCTCCCATTTCAGCCATTCGCAAGCATCCAGCTTCTCTACCAGCTCTACAAGGACGAAGGGAGGAGTAACCACACATCTGCTAATGAGCCAGAAGCACTTTCTGCCTCCATGAGGATGGTATGAATGACCCACACCCTGCTGCTAGCTCAGGGAATAGCAGCACCAATCACATCTGCACTGAGGTCTGGAAGTACAAGCTACCCTGGAGTCCCCATCAATCTTTCCAGCAGCCTTGTCCATGTGCTTGGTCAAGGAAGCCCCAAAAGAACTCCCTTTTTGGGCAAAAAGCAAGAATTCATTCCTGATTGACCACACCTTCCCACCTCCCACAGTGCAGCAGGAGGAACAATCCGGGACAGCCACCATTGCATGCTTCCCTCCACGGTGTATAATGGTTCCGCAGGGAGGAGACAGGAGACAACCATCAGGCACCAAAAGCAGGCTGGGTGGCAGCCACAGGAGACCAAGGACAGAAGAAACCATGAACTGCCCTGAACCTATGGAGCAAAATACCCAGTTCCCAAATTCACAGCTTATCCACTGACCGAGGGCCCTGATGCCCCATTTTTTCATCCTCCACAAAGCCGCCTGCCTACAGCGCAGGCCTGCAGCAGGAGCTGCCACATCTTGCTCTTTATGAAGCAGCTTACGAAGAAGAAGCATCACCTTCCCCTGCACAGCCCTGAGGAAAAAGATGCTTTAACTGGCAGAAGGGATCAACGTGAGGCTGCGGAGAGGACAGGGAGAGGTTACGTTTGCTTTCAAAAGCCTTTTTCATTGCTAAGCCAAAGGCTGAGGCCATGTCCCTCATGATAAAAGTGTCCTTAAACAAGCCTTGGCATATCCAAGGCGAGAGCGAGAAGCAGCTCTGAATGGGGAGGGACCCCGGGAAGTCCCTGGCTCCAGCAGGGAGGTTTTCCCTGCTTGGGGAAAGCAGGGGCCAAGCAGCACACATCCCACTGCTGCCCCGCTCCCCTCCACTGCAGCGTCGCTTCCCCGGCTTAGGGCTGCCGGCAAATGAAAAGGAAGAAAAAACCCTTTTGTGTGTCAAGCCAGAGCTTGGGGAAAGGGAGGGGAAGGGGAAAAATAAAAAAAATGAAAAAAAGGGGAAAAAAAAAAAAAAAGAAAAAGAAAAAAAAAAAAAGACAACATGTGGGTGGTCTGCTCAGGAGACTTTTGACTTTGTTTTTTTGGCTATTTTCTTTCTTGGCAGAAAGAGCTCCTGGGGCTGCTCAGCAGAGGGTATGGCCAGATCACAGGAGCATCCTCGGCCCACCCAGGGGCCAAAGTTCAGCTGGCAACAGCCGTTCACTCCCAGCGCCGAGGGGGCTCGCATCAAAGCGCAGAGGAGTCAAGAGAAATTAAAGTCAGAAACGGTCCGAGGAGGGGGCAGAGGGCACTGCCGGCTCCCCAAGGAGAGAGGGGGCACCCCACAGGGATGCTCTGTGCACCTCACTTGCTGCATCCCTGTTACAGCCATATACAGGCCCCGAGATGCTGCAACTGGAGACTGGGATTGGGAAACAAGAGGATAAATAGGATTTTATGGTAGTCTCTTGGGAGTTCTCCCTGCCTTGGGATGAAAGCAGGATTCTATTACAAATAGAGGGAAAACTTCTAGATACGGGAGAAGATTCCCATCACTGGTAGCAGAATCATGTAAAAAAAGACTGGGCAAAAACGTAATGAGTTTAAAAGCTTTGGCCAAACCTCTGACGGCAAAGCTGGCACGGTGAAGCTTGCAAAATCCCGGCTGAGCATCCCGTCGGATCTGCAGCAAGCCAGAGCAATAGTGACCCAGGTGTGCTGGCAGCGTTGGAGGGGAGCTGGCACAGGCTCAAAGCCATGGGGGCCCTTGGGGAGCTGCGTTTGTACTTGGTAGCACGCCGTCAGCTGCTTGTGAAAATGCCACCGAAAGCTACGGGAGGTTGATTTAACTTAAGCAAGAGCTTTCGTGTGAAATACAAAGCAGCTCCTTAAAACTTGTGCAATTCAGAACCTGGTAAATCCCTTTGCCTGCACTTTCCTGCCCGACTCGCATTGCAATGCGAGGGACCCCACGTTTCTCCTCCCCGGCGCTTCGTCAGGCTCCTGAACTTGTTCTCAGGAACGTATTTGTCTTCGGGGGCTCTCTGCAGCCTGTGGGTCCCATGGGATCTACCAAAGGGGCATGAGGTGGGATCCCGCTTTCAGCCCTCATTAGCATGATGACCATGGCGCTGCTTGAACTTGACCCCTGAGCATGGAGAAGCTGCTGACCAAGCGCTTGAAGGTGTTTGCCTGACATACAAAAGGCAGACTAATGGCTGTGCTTTTAAGCCCCTCTCCACACTCTCTGCCCACCACAGGGAAAGCTTGCCACTGAATTAAGCCTTGCCTCAGCTGAGGGACAGCAGAAGGGCTGACCTGTTGGGGTCCCAGAGCCACCAGGCTGGTGCCAGCCATGGTTACTCACGTTACAGGAGATCAGAGTCTGCTGGGGAGCTGTGCTGGGGCTTTTAGCATCCCCAGCCCATCTCCAGGGTGCTGGGGATGCAGCCAGGGTTCCCTGCACCCCCAGAGCTGGTGACCCCACCTGTGCCCTCTGAGTGACACTGGGCTGATGGCCCCAAATCCAGACAGTGAAGGTGACCGAGCAAGGGCAGCTCCTGGGAGAGACTGGCCTTGCCAAAGGGTGACTCAACCTGGTACAGCCCGTGGTCTGTGCCGGCACCATGGCCATGCAGAGCAGGCTGAGCAGGTTCTTGCGCCAGGCCCTCACCTCTCCTACAGCCATGTGGTGCCCAGAGCCCCTTCGTCACCACCCTGTGCTCAGCCATGCGTTAAGAAGCACTAAGGAAAATTCACCACCAGGGTGGGCTCAGTGCTGACCTGCTGCTTTCAGTGCACCAGGTACACTCAAATTATTCTGCAGCAAAACTACAGGCAGCCCCAGAGAGAGCTCGCTGGGGAAATCCAGGCTGGCAGCATCACCATGTCACCACACTATGGCAGAGCACCTCCTGCCCCAGCTGTCTGCAAACACCCTTCACCACCCCCTCTGAGAGCAGGGATTTCAGGCTAAAAATATACTGTTTACTGACTGAGAAGCACCAGCTCCCACGGCTCAGTGCTCGCTTCCCATGCGGGCTGTGACCTCTGCACTGGCCTGCTCACCGGTGAGCCTGCAGCATGTGATAGTGAGGGCAGAGATGAGCCACCGTGCCCTTTGCAGGCTGCTCTGTGGCAAGTTCACAAGGGAAACAGTGAGCTTGAGGAGAAGACAGACAGGGAAAAGTGAGGCCAGTACTGCTAGACTGGGGGCCAAGGGATGGCCAAGCTGCCAAGCTGCACAGGCAGATACATCCCCCTGTACGCATGGACCACGGGCTCCAAGAAAATTCAGACCTTCTCTCATCTCTCCATAAAGATGTGTTGCACCAGGAAGTAAGAGGATCAGGCCAGGGTGCAGAATTTTACAGACGTTTAGACCATAGCAAGCATTGGGCACCACTGGCAGCTTCCCACTGATGGGCTGCTCTCAAGAGCCAGCATCAGTGAGGAACATAAGCACCTCCTTGGTCACCATTTCTCCTGATCCCAACTGGAGCACCAGGAGCTCCCCATCCCCAAGGCAAAGCGTACAAGAAATACCCTGCAACACCTCCAGCAAAGATGGCAGCAAAAAATAAGCTCCAAGTGTGATGGTGCTCCAGACACATGCTGCCCCTCCTTGCCAGGGCTGACCCGGCTGAGGGACATGCTGCGGGCATGGCCCCGGACGCAGCACAGCAGCCAGATACGGGCTGGTGACCCATTCCGTTCAACCAGTGGCACATTCCAACCCCTTCTCCCATCCGGCTGGAAATATTTTCCATACGTGTCAGCTCTTTGCACCAGCCAAGTCGCGAACAAGCGCCCTGGCGACACTCTCCAGGCCCTCATGGCCCCCCGAGCCAGGGTCAGCAGCGAGGAAGAGGAGGGCGACTCACATGTGATGAAGTAATCCTGCTGCCGCTTGAATTCCAGGCCCATGTAGTTGGGGCTGAACTCCTGAAACTTGATGGTGAAGCGGATCTCCTGCTCGGGCCGGTTGCACGTCACCAGCACGTTAGGGTCCATGACAGTGCTGCAGGCATCTGCCTGGTCCTTCTTCACCAGGTACAGCTTGTAGTACTCGTAAGGCTTGGACGGCTCCGCCTTGGGGCAGATAATGTCCAGTTTATCCCCAATCTCCGGGTAGATGACCAGCCCCTTCCCAGTCATGAACCTGGAAAAGAAGAGGGCAAGAGGTAAGACACATGCTCCAGCACAGTCCACAGCAGCCACACCAGCCCTTCCCACCCCATGTACAGCCCTGCTTTCACACCTTTTATTTTGTGCTTAAACTTTACTGTTCTCCCTCTGCAAAATGTCTTTTGACACCAAAATAAAGCTCCTTTTCCATCACCACCACTGCACATGCAAGGAGCCAGTACAAGGCTCCCACCGAGAAAACCAGAGGCTCGACTGGTTCAGTCCCATTCCACATCCCTCCTGCCATGATGAGGATGAGCACCCTTCCCAGACCCAAGCCTGGCACCCAGAAGGGAATGGAGTCTTTCCACAAAAGGCTGCAGAGCGGGCAGCATGGAGACGCCGCAGCTCTGCCCGACGGCCAGGCAAGGAGCTTCCTGCAGGGACAGGCAATAATTAGGCATGGGGAGAAGTCCTGACAATGGGGCACAGGGAGGGATCCCTTCCACGCCCCGGCTCCCTGAGGAATTCCTGTCCTTAAATGGAAGGTAGGGAAGCATCCTGCAGGACAACTTCTACCAAGCCAGGCTCAACGGCGTGCCCAGGAGCGTGGGAGGACCGGATGGAGAGGAGCAAGGAGGGAGGAAAGCTATTTGGGGCTGGAAGGCAGGGCATTGCAAAGGGAAGGAAGGCAATATGCTGATAATTAGCATTCAGATTTCATTATTGTGGAGCAATAATCTGAATAATTTTTTTTCAGTGTGAAGTAGAGTATTAGGGCAACAAGGACGGAAGCAGTAGCTCATCTACTTTGATGTAGGCAACATAACGCATTCTTGATGGAAGATAAGGTGGGAATGGATGCTCCTGCAAAGTTATCTCTGCTGCAACTCCCTCACGTAATTTGGGCATGACGAAAAATTAAGCGTGTGCCTCAGCAGGCTGCACGTTGGCAACTTTCCCTTCCCACTCTGACATGGCTGGGTCCCTGACCCATCCCACCCCTTCAGTAAGATGAGGCGACAGGACACCTTCTCTCCCCAGCAAGCTGCTCCAGCTGGGGCTGCAGGCACCACGGAAGGAAGATCAAACGCACAAGACCAACCTGCTCTGTGGCTCTGGTACAAGTCTTAGCAAGAAGCCACAGAGCTGAAACCATTGCCTGAGCAGCCCAGGCTCCAGGCCTCTGGCTGCGGGAGCCGCAGCAGATCCACACGCCGACCAACCGGGCTGCGAGGCAGCAGGCGGAGCCGGAGCCCACGCACACCCCAATGCCCTTGGCAAGGGCTCTGGAGCTCGGTGCCAGCTCTAACAGCGGGAGGGACAGCCAGGACAGAGACAGATAGACATCAGCTGCAACTCTCCACCAGCTCACCCTCACTCCGCCCCAGGAGAGGAGGCAAGACACAGGCACAGTGGGAACAGTCCCCTTCACCCACACTGCTCTGAATGTGGGAGCTGAATTCCAGTGGGTAGTCTGCCCCATCCTCCCTGCGGTACCCAGAACAGCACTGTGGGATCATCCCAACCCCGGCACCACCATGGCAGTGGCTGAGCCTTTGCCACACAAGCTTGTGGGGAGCAAGTAAGTTGTGTTAAAGACATAACTGCTGGAAGAAGGGATGCAGCAGCCTCATGGAAGAACAGGAGATGTAACCCGTACAGGGCCTGCGCAGGTGGGATGCTGCACCATGGCTCCATCCCTGGCGCTGCTGACAGACGAGCCATGCTTTGCCTGAACACTACCAAGTAGGTCAGCTGGCCCCTGGCCAGCAGAGTGCTTCCAGACCTTGGGAGGGAGCGATAAAGGCTTCCCCCACCCACAGCCAGAGCCCTGATGCAATACCAGGAGCCGTGCAGCAGGAGATGCAAAGGAGCCCCTGCCCCTCCCTCCCCTTGCTCAGCCTCCCCACCCCAGGCCACAGACATGCAGCGCAAGTGAACACTTGCACGCTCGCTCACAGGTTCCCACCCCGAGAGGCAGCTGGATCCCACACTCATTTCTCCACGGCTGGGCTGAGTCAGAGGCTTTCTGGCACAGGACTCCCAAGTGACTCAAATTCCCTCCTCCCAGCCCCTGCCAGCTCCCTCCTGCCCAGAAGATGCCAAACAGGAAGCCACAAACAAGCCAAGCAGATGTCTTGCAACGCCAGAGCAGGAGAAGAAGGCTCCTATCTGTCCCCCATCTTCATACCAGAAGGACCTATCACACCTCCTTGGCCAAAGCCTTGGCCAACATCAGCAAACCAACCAGTCCATGTGACACCAGCCTGTGCTGCCGGCACAGCCGTCTGGGATAGGGTCAAGCTGATTTTTAATGAGAGGAGAGGCCATAAAGCAATCAAGGGAGCCAAGAACATCCCAGCACCACATCCTGCTGGCACTTCTGTTCCTCTTAGAAAATTCACAGAGGAGGCCTCTGTTTGTTTAATTTGTTTCAAGGGTAAAATGACAAGATTAATTTCTTCTAGGAACGCTTGGTTTCAGCTTCAGAAGCACACAGCTTCTGCCTGGGAATTAGCCCAGGAACATTTTCCAGATCTCCTACTCGAACATCGAGCAAGACAGAGCTACCAGCCAAAGCAGCAGCCGTTCACCGCATGCAGTGTTGCACGGGGCTTTTGGGGGTGCTCCTTCTGACTGCCGCTCCCTGCCAGCCACATTCCTGCCCACACACACACTCTATACCCTTTGCCCTCCAATTTCCCTGATTTCTTCTCCATTTCCCCCTTAGTGTCCTCCCTCTCTTCTCTGAAGATGAAGAGAGGTCGGGCAGCACGAGCAGTGGAGATAAGCCCCTGAAGAGTATGCCTTCAAACCCTGCTCACTGCTCTTTGAGCTCCTAACCACACATCCACATTTTTCCCTCCCCTAAAACTGTGCTTTGTCAGAAGCAACAGCTTGTGATGACCATCCTAGGGAAAGCAGACAACACTTCTCATCATGCGAGAGGCCTCCACAAAATTATACTTTAAAATACAGAAGGCGCAAAGCAACATTTATCACAAGAACAGCAGAGAAAAAAAGCATTCAAAAACTGTTGCGAGTTGCGCGTACACATTATTACAGCAAGTTCTGGGTATGAGAAATATTACTTGAGAAGGACTGTTGAAGGCAAAAAAATTACTCTTGACTTGTCTTTACAAGGACAAGTCTTCAATTTTACCTTAACTGGGAAGAATGAATAGATCTCCTTTTAAATTAGGAGTGAAACTCATCATGCCCTCAGAGCACATGCTGTCATTCTGGGGGGTATCTGCTCTATTCACTGTACACTACAGTTTGATTTCCCTGTTTTAAGGCAGGGAGGGAAACAAAGAAAAAAACATAATTCAACTCAACCTTAACGCTGAAACTAAGCTCTTCTGTGGCTGATCCTGCACAGTGTGTGCTGGAGTCTGGCTGTGGAAGGCCACGAGCAGGCTCCCAGCACCCCAACCACACACAGCACCCACACTTCTACCTCTCCTACCACTTGGGAGGAGGATGGTGGCTCCAGCTTTATTTATTTAGCCTTGATGCTACCACCAGTTAGCAGCTCACAGATAACATCTCAGCATCCTTTCTCCTGGTGGCAAAGCTGGTGGGAAAGACTAACTACAGCCATTAAAGTTTAAAAACCACTGTTTTTTTGCCAATGCTGTAAACAGCATCCAGCTGAGCACTGCGTGCTGGGGTTGGGGGTGCTGGCCTCCACTCTGTTATGGGCAACTTCATCACTTAAAGCCCCTCAAGGTGCTTTTTGGGTGGCACCTGCGGCTGCCCACCCGCAGAGCTGTGCTGGCTGCTAAAGAGCATCCCATCCCAGCCAGGCATCCCTGACCGCCACATCCCGGCCCCCAGCTCCCGGCCCCGCAGGTTCCTTGGGAGCGATCAGGTGGCAGCGTCCAATTTCCTCATTGTTTCAGGAGGTGTTTTCTGATGGGAAAGGTGAAAAGGGTATTTGTGAGCCTTGTAAACCGATTCCTCCGAGTTGGGTAAACAAGGGGAGCTCTGTTGGCAGCGGGATGCCGGGATGCCGGAGCAGAGACAGGATTAAAGAGCAGCCGCTCCCCTGCCCCTAGCTGGGAGGCCGCTGGCAGGGACCCCCAACCCCTGTGGACCAGGCAGCTCGTCAGCATGGAGGGTTAGTCTTCCCTCAGGGATCCAAAAAGCACCAGTGGGACCTGATGGAATGATCCAGGGGCTACAAATGGGACCTGCTGGAAGGGACATGGGCTCAGAGGCAGCTGCCCTGGCATCTTAGAGCTGGTTTGGGGAAAAGAAAGAGGAATGAGGCAGTAAGAGATGATAATCCCTCAAAACATGCAGCAGGGCTGCTTAGGGTCCAGGGAGGGATTGCAGCCTGGTGTCCCTGGGCTGTGCCTAGGCAGGAGATGAAGCCACACCATGGCACCAGCACATTCCCTGGGTGAGCACTGACCACAGTGCCAGCTGCTGCTTCAGTTCAACCCAGTCCTTTGGGTTGTCCTTTGGTTCAATGGCCAGGCACAGACTCACCCAACAGCTCTGCACACAGAGAATGACTGGGAATCCTGATGCAACCACAGGCAGAGAGATGCTGCCCTTCTACCAGCATCCAAGACACTCACACCTTGGCCCTGAGGAGCAGCCACGTGGAAGGGTGGCAAGGCTCCTGACAAACCCCCTGACAGCCAGATCACAAGCCCATGGCTTCCTGGGCTGTCCCAAAGGACACCAGCCACATCACAGAGCTCTGGCAGCACCAGGGTTCCTGCAAGCCAGCACATCGCACAGCAATGGCCTGCTCCATCCCACCACTGGTAGAGGCTCAAAAAGCCTGGGAACATGAGGTAGGAAGGAAAAGCATGCAGGTTTGGTCAGAGCAAGCTCAGGACTGCTGGGCACGATACCTCTCTCCTCCACACACACACATACGAAGCAGACTCCTCCATGTGGGCATGCACGGGCTAGCAGACTGGGTCACAGTTAAACATGGACAATGCTAATAACATGTTCGCAGTAATAGCTCCAAACACAAGAGTCCTGCAGATACAGCATCCAGCACT